TTATCAATCCCCTACCAGACTCAGGGCAGTTCTGGCTAATTCTTCTACATTTATTACTTCCATGACAGCAAGAGCGAGAGACACCTCACACCGTGAGCTGCCCTAGAGTCACACACGCGTGAGCCCAGCTGCTCTGGGCAGTCTTGGGACACAAACCCAGGACATCCTCAAGCAGTCAGGCCTGGCACAGGGCCACTGCACGGCCACACCACCTTCTGGTCTGGGTTGTTGATGTTTTAGGGGTTGTATTCATGCCACAAGTGACCTTAGTCTGCAATCTGTTTTTTGGGTACAATATTACCAAACTTTGGTATAAATGGGTGACTTACAACACAGAAAAGCTTTTATTTATTTGCTTTGTTAGGTTTTAGCCATAGGGCACATGTGCTGACCAGAGAGACACAGAGACAGAGAGAGGGAAAGGGAAAAATCATCCCCTGGGGAGACGGCCACACCACAATCCCGTCTCCTCCATTCTCCTCTTGGGATTGTGGGCACACATGAATACACACATGCCTGGTATGATTTTCAAGCCACCCAGTTCTGGACTTGAACTACAGTCTGCCAGGTGGGATTCCTGAAATTCCTTTCAGTGCATCAGCAAAACAATTTACGAAATAAATTGGACACTAATTAACGCAGCTTGAGGAGAAAGCTGGAATGCGCTCTAGGCAGACGAGAACGAGCACTCGGAGCCCTGTGGCACATCGCACTACTCAACGTGGGCTGGCCTTCCTGCTCAGCGCTGAGGGAGGCCAGCTCCACACGGCCCACCGTGCTTCAAACCCAGCCCTGGAGGCTCGAGAAACACGGGCTGCACGTGCACACACGCTCGACATCCCGACAGGAAGAACGGAGAGGGGCTGCTCGACCACAGCCCCCGGAAGCTGCTTTCTCTTGTCTCTCAGGCCGCCGCACACGCCCGCTGGGAATTCCACGTGCGCACATGCATCTCTGGCAGTTAAACACACAAGCACATATACATGTATCTGGCAATTCCACGTACGTGCATGTATGTGAGCACACACACACCGTTCTTCCAGCTCAAGGGCAGCACTCTCCCCTCGGCCGGCGGGTCATGGCACCTACACACAGCACCTGCCTTTCTGAGATGAGACCCAGCCTCCCCTCACCACCCACGAGGGCGAGCGGGCTCCCCAGCAGCATTCTCGAGCACCAGTGCCACCAGCCAGGTCCTGCTCAAACCTGCTCGGCCGAGCTAGACTGGCACCCTCCACGAGCTGTCGGCCACTATGTCAGTGCATAAAGGACACCGCTGCTCCCGGAGGAACTAAGAGGCCGTCCCTGAACAGACTCTCCGAGCCATCGGCCCGAGGAGAGACCATGCTAGCGCAGGCCAGCCAGTGCCATGGTGATTAAGGTGGCTGGATGCTGACCAGCTTGGGAAACACGCCGTGTGTGTGTGTATGTGTGCGTGTACGTGTGCGTGAGCATGTGTGCCCAAAAGGAAAGAGGGAGAAGAAATTACAGTGTGGGCTCCTCCCTGGGAAGTGCTTCTCACTTTTTCTCCTGACCCCTTGCCACCCCCCAAGTCTCTCCAGCAATTACGCATGCCTTATGGCTAATTTAAATCACAAAGGGGCCAGCAGGTGGCATGGAGGTTAAGTTGGTGGATCCCACTTGTCTACAGTGTGAGACCCAGACCCAGCAGCTTGAAAATCACGCCAGGTGCATGTGCATGCATGCCCCAAATCCAGAGGAGACTGGAGAAAGGACTAGAGTGGCCGTCCCCTCTGGGCTGACTCTTACTCTCCTGCCCCCTGGCAAGTGCACACCCCCTATGCAAAGCTTAAACAAAAAAAAAGAAAGAAAAAAGAAACCACACTAGCTCTTTGTACCTAAAACTTTAAAAAGGAAGAGAAACCGTCGTTTGGCACCAAGCAGTAACACGTCAGACCGTCTGTAGTCCCACTGGGTGCCACTGCCAGAGAGACAGAGAAGAGAGACATGGGGCACGCCTGGGCCGTGGCCACACTGCAGTCCTTGCTCCATTCCCTCATCCTGTCAGGACGTGGGGCATGCTCGTGAGACCAGTCTGTTTTTCCAGAAGCCAGGGCCAGGACCCAAACTGCCGTCAGCCACGTGGGACCTAGGTCCCTGACGCACAGAGTAGGGCCTAAAAACCTCCGGAAAACACAGAAGTCTAGAGAATCCCTTGGCTCTTTGTCCTTGGCTAGCTTAAACTAAACTATCAGTGATGTAAGGGGGCAGCGCAGCAGGTTGTGTGGTTAAAGCACTGGGTCCCACTTGGCCAACCATGTAGTTCAAGTCCCAGACCCGGCAGCATGAAAAATTCCAGGTACGTGTACGCTGTGAGCAGGGTGGAGGAGGACGCCGTGCGGCCATTCTCCCGGGGTTTCTCACTCTCCCACCCTCTCTCACCCCAGTAAGCACATGTGCCCATAATGAAACTTTAAAAGCAGAGCTGGACCCAGGGCCTGCTCTGTAGTGTGCAACGTGCTGCTCAAGGTAGGCTGGGTTCCACGTGGTGACCACAGCCTGGCCAGCCAGCCCGGACACACTGGGCGTCTCAGTGAGTGCAGGGTCCACAGGGCGGTGGGGGGAGGGGGGAGTGGAGCAGCAACCACCCCAAGGTGCTCTTCTCTCTCCGGCATGAGTACTCGCAAGCACTATTAGGGTTAGAAATAACAAAAGGAGGTGAAGTAGATCAGCTGGGGGACCAGCAGTTAGCGTAATGGTTATGTCACTGGACTCCCACATAGTCGATCGTGGTTCGAGTCCCGGACCCAGTGACTTAAACTCATGACGGGCGTGTCTGCGTGTGTGCCCAAGATCCCGAGAGGGGAATGGAGAAGGGATTGTGGCGTGGCCATGCCCCCTGGGGGGTGATTTCTCGCTTCCTGTCTCTCTGTCTCTTTCTCTCTGTCCGGTGAGCACACGCGCCCTACAGCAAAAACCTTTCAAAAAAAAAAAAAAAAAGGAGGCCAGCTGGTGGCGTGGACAGACCCGCGTGGCGCACAGCACAGCTGAGACCTGAGACCAGTGGACTGAAAGACACGCAGGGCACGCGGGAGAGTGGGGAGAGGAGGCTGCAGCGTGGCCGGCAAGGCTTCTCTCCCTCCGCGTGCCTCCTGGTTGGTGCCCATGCCCCAGAGCTCATCAGAACGAAGACGCTGCCTATCTGCTCACAGTGCGGTCAGCAAACTCGCACTACGCAAGCGGCACGAAGGCCAGAAGAGGAGCGTGCTGACGCGGCTCCAGACGCGGGGCCGACGGGCAGATGCTGGCCGTCCCAGGTCGCGGGCCTGAACCCCGACAACGGCGCGGCCTGCTTGGGCGGGGCAGACCAGCTTCCTTCTCAGGGACTCGGACACCCACACGAGAGCCTTCTTCTCGCAGTCAGAGCACAGATGACGTCGGGCGAGAGCTCGCCTCTCCGCGTCCTGAGAGCCTTTCTGAAGCGGGTCACCCCACCAGCCACCCAGACATGTTTCATCGGGACCGCAGGACAGCGGGCACGTAAGGCAGAAAGTAAAACCGTCCCAAATTCCTCTAAGGTCTTTTAAAAAATGGCTGTGGGCGTTAGAAATGGTGACTGCGGAAGGTGGATGTTGAAGCCGTGGAGGCTGCGGGGCGAAGGCCCCCTGGGGGCAGGGACCTGCATTCCCCTGCCTTGGGGCAGGGAGACCCACCAGAACGAGCGAGCGAGGCCGAGCGCCCTCGCCGACGCCTGTGTGAGCATGACTTCACCTGGACTTGTGGCCTGACCAGACGCCATCTGGGAGCGCCGCGGCCCGGGGCTCACCTCGCGCACTCTGGGGTGCACCGGGGACGTCCTGGAGAGGTGGAGCCCGTGGAACATGAGGTCCTGGATGCAGTCGTTCTCGATGGTCTGAAAGAGAGACGCAGTGGGTATGCAGCCTGCACGAGGCGCCCGCCTCAGGTCCCGCCCGTCGAGACGAGATGCCGACTCTGAACCGTCTGAGGCTGGCCCCGGCAGGGCCGAGGAGCAGGTGTGCAGCGGGCCGGGACCCACGTCGCCCCAGTCCCGAGGTGTACACAGGACAATGGAGACCAGGATCCCATGCTGACTGTGACGCGGTCTCACCAGGATGCCCCCACAGGCCCCAGTAAGCTGAGACCGCTGCCACAGAGGAGCAGCTGGGGAGGGCCACGCCAAGGGCAGCCACACCCCCGGTGTCTGTGGCCTGAGAAGAGCACAGGAGGCCTTGCCGTCAGACAGACAACCTCCTCTAACTGTCTCCTCCACCCCTCAGCAGCAGACGGGCAGGGGAGGATGTGGGACTAGGGGAGAGTCTGCCCGGATCTCGGGCTGGACCCGCAGAGCTCACGACCAGAGCGATGTCCCACAGGACAACGGACCCATTTCTTTAATATGTCAAAGGCGGAAGTGTAAAAAGAAAGGACAGAAAAGGCGGGAGAGAGGATAGGTCTGGAAGACATAATCAAATGACTCAATTAGAAAATGCCATGTGGCGTAGTGGTTAAGGCACTGGACTCCCACAGGGCTGACTGTGGTTTGAGTCCCAGGACCGGCAACTTGCTTTCTCACTTCCCCTCTCTCTGGTCAAATTAAAAAGTGATGATAATAAATAAAAATAATTCTAAAAGCAAAAAAAAAAAAAAAAAATCCGTATGGCCAACTTGCTGGACCCTGACTGGAAAACTAAGTGCGGGAAGACATGCAGAGACAGCAGGGACTGTCAGATGCGGCCCCCGTCGAACTGTGCTGGTCGAGGCACTGTGCAGGTGCGCCCTCGGAACTGCATGCTCAGCCACGAGACAGGACGTGTCCACAGATGTGCCTTACCCCTTGAAGGGAGGAGGGCAGGGAAGGGAGTCGGGACTGGAAGCACAGGGCTCGCCCTCAGTTCCCACGAACTGGCAGACAACAGCTCACCCCTTGACAACCACGCTCAGAGGCCAGGCCAGCAGGTGGCAGCGCCCCGAGCCCCACTTCCCTAAAACCACAACTGCGGAAAGGGGAGAAAAGACGCTATTCCTTCCCCAGGACAAGTTTCACACAGCGATAAAACACAACTTAAACGATGAACAGAAAGCACACGACAACGTCCCCCCTGAGTTACACCTCGTGAAGCCACGTGGCAAGCTGCCCGCACAGGAGTGCAACGGTCACCTCCTGCCTCCTGGAAGCAGAAGCCAAAGGACTCTGGCAGAGCTGGCCTGGCTGAGCGTGGGCAGAGAGCAGAGGGTGCGGGGCGAGCCCCACACGTCGGGGACCCGCTGCCCTGCACCCAGCAGCCAGGTCTCTTTCCAGACAGGAAGTCAGGGTGGAAGCAGGACGGCAGGACCCTCTGACTCAGAGCACCTGTCATGCTCAGAGGAAAGAAGACGCATTTGCAAACCTAAAAGGAGAAAAACTAAGGGGTGACGCACACTTCGAATTTGTCTGAGAGGTTTCTTTTTTTAATTATCAGATGCCACATGCAAGTGAGAGAGAGAGAAAACACCCCCCGAGGGATGTGGCCACACTGCAGTCCTCTTCCTCGTCTCTCCACCTGTCAGGACCTGGGGCGAGCGCACACACACACACACACACACACACATACACACGTTATTTCTCAAGCCAGCCAGGCCAGGATTCGAACTGTGGTCACAGGTGAGACCTGGCTCCCAATGTGCAGGGCGTGACCACTGCGCTACTCGGCAGCCCCCAAGAGGGTCTCCGACTGCCCAGCCGGAGGTGACCTGTACAGCCGTTCCCCGAACACACAGCACGTGGCCATCAGAAGAGAGCCATGTTCAAGGTGAACGTCACCAAGTCACCAAAAGTAACGTAAGCGAGAGGCGATGCAGAGCCAGACAGCACTGCTCAGAGACAGTGCCACGGCGCCCAGGGAGGCCTATCCACGGGGCACCATGCAGGGGCTCCCGGCTCAGGCGCCTGGGGAGGCCTGGTCGTGAGGCGCCGGGCAGGGGCTCCCAACACGGGGTGCACTCTGCCTTCCACTGAGCCCACACTCAGCTCGGCTGGCACTGCCAGGTTCTATCACTCATTCTGCTTCCAGACAGCAGACCGGGAACTGCTACACACCTTTACAGAAAAACTTCAGAATAATTTTACCAGGTGTAAGTTTCTGGCAAGAAAATAAAACCAAGACATTGTTGAGCATTTCAGGTTTTGTCCTGCATTGTCTCAATAATGCGTAACACTTGTTCAAGTGCAGTTTACAATGTCGCCCTGATAGCGGCCACATCACAAAGACGGTATTGCTCCGACACCAAGCCACGGTCACCTCAGCATGTACTCAGCGTTTTAAAAGCACAGGGACACTCGGCACCCCCCTCAGTAGGCACTACGTGGTTGCGACCCGGGGTCTTGTTGCAGCTGCCGCAGACCTCGGTCCGCACTGGCCAAGCCTCCAGAGCCCAGTTACCCATGGCTAGACAGTTGTGTCAGCACCGAGGACGAGGCGCGAACTGCACCGCTCTGTGAGGCGGGCAGAGGCCACGCTGCCGTGGCGACATGCTCCCTCACGTGGCTCGAGCCTGACGGGCCACGTGAGCACAGACCTCGGCACCTCGGCACCTCTTCCTCACTGCGAGTTAGCAAGCAAAACACACACAAGTGTTGACATTTCAGAAAGTAAAAATACCTCCAATATCTTCCCCGAAGCCTTTTTCCAAGCTCTGAAATAAACCTCTGCAAGGTGCACCATCAGAGACCTATTAAGAAAGTCAGAACGGTTACAATGCAAGTGTGAAGATGACGCCGGCAACACGCATCACCTTGGAAACCCTCCTACCCTTGGGAGGGACTGCATCTGCCTAGTGCATTATAAACTCCCTCTAGAGCGATGTCTCCTCCCTGGAACTGAGAAGGGAACTGCAATAACGAACTACTTCCTCCCTCTTAGCCACGGCGTCCCGGAACTTCGCTGTGGTCTACGGGGCTGTGAGACCCCCAAGTCCAAACCCCAAAGTCAGAAGGTTTGAGTACGTAACGTTGTGACTTGGAGTCGTTTTCGACTGTGCAGGCTTCTAACCCTCTGGTACAGAAAGCCCTGAAACAGCAGTCAACTCTGAATCTTAATAGTTTAGAAATCTTGTAACTTGGGACCCGGAGTTGGTGTAATGACTATGTCCCTGGACTCCCATGGAGTAGACCGCTGTTCAAGTCCTACCCGGTGGCTTAAACTCACGCCAGGTACGTGTGTGCCCAAGATCCCGAGAGGAAAATGGAGGAGAAGGGACTGTGGCGTGGCCATCCCCTCTGGGGGCTGACTTCTCACCTTCTGTCTCTCTGTCTCTCTGTCTTTCTGGTGAGCACACATGCCCTATAGCAAAAACCTCTTAAAAAAAAAAGAAATCTTGTAATTCAACTCAAATACCCTGCAAATAAACACATGAGAAACTGCTGCAGATACCGCAGGTTCTGTGACCAAAACCCCGCCCGAGAGTGTGCCGTGTGTGGCAGGGGCTCTGCCACGGTGCAGGACTGAGTCCCCACTCAGCGCCAACACGGCACCTGATACACGGAGGTCAGTACCTGGGCCGAGCTCAGAGACTTCCAGAGCTCAAACAGTGACGCAGAGTTGGTGCCCAGCACCAGGCAGGGCAAGCCCTCGGCCGCGCCTGGCAACTCAACCCATGATGCATACGCAGACACCCACCCTGCGCCCAGGGCTTTACACCGCAGGGACCGTCTCCACACCATCCGTGAGGCCCCCATCTCCTGCAGAGGGTACGGCATGAGGAGGAGCGGGAGCGTCACTGTGCGTGAGCTTACAGAACTGTCACAGGTCCCATCTTACACCCACCTGTCACTACTGAACAGTGACTTCCTACAAGAGGAGACACTCCAGTGGGACAACAGAGTAATAGTTAACGGTAAGACATGACTGAGTGCTTCCAAACTCTGACAGGACTTCTTCTTTTTAGCTTTTGCTACAGGGAGCAATGTGTTTGCCCAAAAAGAGACAGAGAGGGGACAAGTGAGAAATCACCCCCAGGGAATGGCCACACCACAATCCCTGCTCTTCCACCCTCCTCTCAGGATTGTGAGCGCATACACACACGCACCTAGAGCGACTTTCAGACCACTGGGGTTCAGGACCCTAACCACATAATCGCCCATGCAGGATCAAGCTGCCTGAACCTCTACACCACCTGCCGGCCCATGTTAACAGAACTTTTAAGTCAGGTTAAATAAAATCTTATTTTTTTTTTTTAAGAATTACTTATTTATTATTATTCTTTTAATTTGACCTGAGAGAAAGGGAATGTGAGAAGGCAAGTTGCCAGTCCAGGGCCTGAGCCAGTCAGCCACATGGAAGTCGAGCACTTTTAACCGCATCACCTGCAACCCCAAACAAAGTCTTTCAAAGCCAGATCAAGATGGCATAAAAAGTGATTAGACACTCCTCGCTTAACAGCCAAGATACGTCCCTGCAGCAGAACTGGGCTGATGTGAGTAGTAGCAGCAAGTGAGGAGCCTAATGGCGACACGTGCTGTGTCCTGGAGCCACAGGCTACGTGGTTCAGTGGGCGTCGTGTGACACCACACTAGGAAGGCGTCATTCTGCCATCCAGAAAGCACATGGGGACCAGCAGATAGCGTAATGGGCACGTCGCTGGATTCCCGTGAAGCTGTGACTATGGCTTGAGTCTCGGACCTGGTGGCTTTAAACTCACACCAGGCACACGTGCGCGTGAGCCCCAAGTCCCAAGAGGACACTGGAGAAGGGACTGCAGTGTGGCCATGCTTCGTGGGGGGCGATTTCTAACCCTTTCTTTCTGTGTCTCTGTCTCTGTGGTGAGCGCACGCGCTCTGTCACAAAGCAAGCACCCGTGAGATGAGTGCGAGGGGCACTCAGGGACGAGCCAGCCTGACCGTCCCGTCTGCTCCAGGTGCAGCTGTGGGTGCGCGATGAGGCACAAACTGAGAAACAAGGCAGAGGCCCACAGGACGGCAGACACGTCCTGCAGTGGACACTGCCCTGCCCTACCGTGGGATGGAGACAGGGGCCCCGCGCTGGATAAGTCGAGCAGCTGTGACACGGTCGCTAACGGGGAGCGACTGCACCTTTCATACTTACTTTGGCAACCACTGTAGCTGGTTTTTAATGGTCCCATGGATCATTTTAATAAAGTTTACATTCCAATTGAAGAGAGAACTAAGAAATCTTCTTCCCTGTAAAAAAAAAAAAAAAAAAAAAAAAATCGACGTTAAAATTACAACCCACAAAAAGTTCGCGACACCCACGGGCTCTGGATGTGCGACGTGTCGGGCACTCCACTGCTGCAACATGGCGGTTGGAGCCCACAAGCTGCTGAAGGGCACTGCCTCGATGCCGAGGCTGCCGCTGACCAGCATGGTGCAGGCCCACGTTGGGGGTGCAGCAGTTTCGTAAAATGAGGTGAGAAATCCGCAGCACCGACAGACTCTCCGTTCCACGACGGACGTTGGGCAGCCTTGGACGCTGAGAGCTACACCTACAGCGGGACTTCCTACAGAGCCAGCCGCCCTCTCCAACTGCCGCAGTCACGGCGACACGCTCATACTCATGCAGCAGGGCTCACAGCCTCCTCAGGGACACAGACGCCATCTTGAGAAGTCACTTTCTGGACCACCAGTGGCATAGTGGTTAAGGCAGCTGGATCCCACGTGACCAATAGAACGGTTTGAGTCCTGGACCCAATGGCTTAAAAATACACTGGGCGTGTGTGCACACGTGCCCAGAATCCTAAACGGAGAACAGAAGGGGCTGCAGCACTGCCATTCCCACTTGCTTCCTCGCTACCTCTCTTAGAAGCGCACATACTCTATGACAAATCTTAAAAATAACGGTTTTCTTTGCTCATCTATAAAAAACAACCCTCCCCCATCAAGTATGACTATGGGGTCACAGCAAGTCAGCGGCGTCTTCGGCTTCTCCGGCTGTATCTACCACGTCTACAGCACTTCTTTCACCAGTCTTGAACCCTCGACCTCATTAGGAGGTCGGAACCAGCTTCTTCCAAGCCGCTCATGTGGTATTCTGACATCCTCTCAGGAATCACGGATGTTCTTAGCACCATGTCGAGCAACGCATCTTTTCCGAAAGCTGTTGGTTTACTCTGTCCGGTCCATCGGAGGGGTCACCATTCGCAGTACATACACCCTGACAAATGTCTTTCTGAAATAAGACTTGAAAGTCAACTCGCCTGCCCACGGCTGCACAGTGGGTGTTGTGGTCAGGCTCTCCGAGCTCGTGGTGGACCGAGAGCGCTGCTGAGTCACACGTAAGGAACCCAAAGGAATCGACCGGAGAAGCCTCAATGCGCGGCCACCGCGGTCAGCAGGCCATGCTGTCTGTCACCAGCTTCGCTGCTGCATCTGCGGAGTGGCCCAGGAGGCTGCCGTGGGGAGCGGGCACCGGCTCCCTTGCCCCCCAGCCGCAGCAGCCTCGATGGGCGTTTGGTTCTGTGACGACAGGCACAGACTCCGGCAGGTCTGCACCGAAAACCTGTGGTTCAGACAGCCGCCTCCACTGACAGCCTCAGCGGCACCTCTCAGACAACCCAGGCAGCCTCCCCATCAGCACGTGCTGCCCGTCCTGCCCGCCCCTCTGCTTGTGTCCTGCAGCTTCTGACCTACTGGGCCTCCTGAGAAAGGAAGAGTTAGACCTTTCTCCAGATTAGGCTTGGACCCGAGGGGATGCTGCAGCTGGCCTGTCATTCGGCCCACTCTGGCACTCTCCACGCCGGTGGGGCAGTGTTCGCCCTCACCCAGGCTCAGAGAAGCACCACTCGCCTCCCTCGAGGACTTCTCCTCGGCACTCACGACGTGGCGACTGCTCGAGCCTGGCTCCACCGTGCGGTCTTCTCCAAGTTTAACCACTGCTGGCTTCTGGTTTAAGGAAGAGGCCTGCAACTCTCTCACTTGGTCACTGCAAGCCAGTGCAGGGTTAGTAATCGGCCTAGGGTTAATACTGTCGTGTCTCAGGCACAGGGAGGCCTGCAGAGGGAGGCAGAGAATGGCTGTGTGGTGGAGCAGGCAGAGCACACACATTCCCTGACTGGACGTGCTGTCTTACGTGGGCACAGTTTGTGACGCCCCAAGGCAGTCCCAGCAAGTCTCAGAGGCCACAACAGATGGGATGGGAAAGCCTGAACTTCCCTGAGAAACCTGAGGTATGACAGGGACATGACATGGCACCCACTGCAGGGTGATGGTGCCGACAGGCCCACCTGGCACAGGGCCCCTCCAGACCCGTCTATAAGAGACGCGTCCCCTGCAAGTCGCAATCATGCCAAATGTCACGCACGGTGTACCCGTCGTTTTAACGAAGGTCTGCGGGAAGGCGCTTCACTCAGATGCCAGCTCCATCTGCAGACGCTGCCCAGCCCCAGACAGGGCCGCCTCCCCACCCGGTCCGGCCCCAGAGGCACCGAATATCTGTCCTCACAGATCGCAGGCTTCCGGGGCAGGCCGTACGCTCACTGTGGTATGTGACATCGCGTCCTTGCTCACTCACGGCTGCACACTCTCACAGCAGAGAGCACTTGGCACCCAACATTTGGTGCGGGGATGCGACTGCCAGTTCGTGTCACCGTTCACGCGTGAGAAAGCAGAGGGCACAGTGGGCTAGGAGTCTTGGGAGTTAGAACCTACAAGTAGCCTGCGTCGTGACGACAGCTCTGGTAGGCACAGGGCTCTCCAGAGGGCACATCTTTGTGCAGCTGCCAGGAGCCTTCTCGGCAGGGAGCAGGGCCCCCACCGCTCGGCAGCACGCCAGCACAGCCTTGGAAATCCTACAGAAACATGACGCACTTGGGTTCATGCACACGTAAGCATGCGTGCAGCAGGCAGGTAAAACAGCATTTGTGGGGAGGAGTGAGCCATCCCCACAGATACTGTTGTTTACTTGCCTGTTGCACGCGTGTTTACGTCTGCATGAAACCACACAAAGCCACGTGGGACCTGGTTCCCAGCACGCAGTGCTCAACAACAGCACTACAGGGCCAGCCCAATAAAAAAACTGTTCAAAGATACAAAGCTTTGTATATGTACCAGGAGGGAGGGAGGGAGGACACGTATGAGAGCAGACCGGAGCTCACGCCAGCTGAGACGGAGCAGGGCAGAGGGCCAGACCTCTCTCACAGGAAAGTGCTGCCCCAGCTGCTCCCAACTGGGCCGAATGGACACGGCTTTACGTCCCCAGGACGCGGGCAGTCCCAGCCCCCACGCCAGCCGACGCGGAACCGAGCGAGGGCCCGGACGACAGCCCCTCCAGCACGGCCACGGGGCACAGGACACCTGGCAGACACAGCCGCCCGACGGCTGGCTGGGTCGGTCGGGCAGAACGGGGGCCTGTGCGCAGCGGCTCGCAGGCCGGAGCACGGCCCTCACCTCCTCCTTGCGCAGGCAGGCCACACTGACGGAGCACTCCAGCAGCAGGTTCCTCATCTCCCTGCTCTCCTCCAGGTCGTAGTCGAAGCAGTACAGCGCCTGGTGCATACGCCAGAGCCGACAGATGTCTGCACCCTGGAACGACACCGGGAAAACACTGAATTTGGACCTTCTACGAGCAGAGAGAGCACGGGTTAAGGCATTTTATTTCATAAAGAACAATCCTACATGGTTTATCAAAGAGCAGAAAACAGTGCCGAGTAACAATATCTTCAAGTTTGCAAATGCAGGACAAGCAGGCAGCGTAAAGGTTACACTGCCAGACTACCATGCAGTCGACGGCAGCTTACAACTCATGCCGGGCACATGTGTATACGTGCCCCAAATCCCAAGAGAATGAAGAAGGTACCTCAGTGTGGCCACCCCCTTGGGGAGGTGATTGCTCACTTCCTGCCTTTCTCTCTGGCGTGCGCACATGTCCTATAACGAAAATCTCTCTACAAACCAAAGAATATATTTGCTAATGCCAGGCCAGCCGGTGGCATAGCGGTTAAGGTGCTGGACTCCCACACGGCCAACCATGGTTTAAATCCCAGACTGGGCAGCTTAAAAAAATCACTCTAGGTGATTCCAAGAGAATGGAGGAAAAGGGACTGTGGCATGGCCATCCCCCCGGGGGTGATGTCTCACTCTCTCTGTCTCTCTCTGGCAAACACACACGCCCTATGGTACAAACCTACAAAATGTGCAAATGCTGGGCGGCCAGGTAGCATAGTGGTTAGTGTGGCATGATCCCACACGGCCACCTGTGCAGTACGAGTCCTGGACCCAGCAGCCTGAAAAACCCACAGGCGTGTAAGGTGGGGAGATGGACAGGGGTGCAGTATGAGCACGCCCCGCCCGGTGGTGCCTCCCCTCCACCCATCAAATTCCTCACTGCCGAGCACACTCACCCTGGCGGTTCAATGTCTGCTGACGGCCTTCACATCCACACCCACTGACCCACTATGAGCCAGCCCTGAGGACGAAAGCTACGGGGGTGGAGGCGGAATAGACACGAAACACCTTAACGATTTTCCAAGGAACAGTGCCCTGCTCAAGGGCAGACGGGGGCTGATTTCGATGTTCACTGCCCAATTTTCTAAGAGAAATGTACGTACCTGCTGGGGTCTCGATCAGAAGGAAAGTACTGCTCTTTTTCTCTATTTCTAAACCTTGTACCAAAGATCAAAATAAGAAAAACAGCCCAAGGAAACCAGCAGTTAGCGTAATGGCTATGTCGCTGGATTCCCACGTAGTCGACCGAGGTTCACATCCCGGACCCGGTGGCTTAGAACTCACGCCGGGCACGTGTGCGTGCGTGCCCAAGATCCCGAGAGGAGAATGGAGGAGAAGGGATTGCGGCGTGACCATCCCCCCGGGGGGTGATTTCTCGCTTTCTGTCTCTATGTCTCTCTCTGTCTGTCTGGCAAGCACACACGCCCTATAGCGAAAACCTATCAAAAAACAGAAACAAAAACAAAAACAAAACAGCCCAAATTACATCCAACCTACAAATATGTCCTTCCGTGGCCTGGCCCAACTTCAGCTGTAGAGACACGCCCAGGCAGGTCTGAGAGCGTAGAGGCTCAGTGCTGTGCAGGGGGGGGCGTGCCCCAGACAGCCAACCCGGGTCCAAGTCCTGCCCCAGCGTAACCAGGCCCAGGTGGAGGGGCGCTCCTCTCCCGCCCACGTGCACATGCGCAGTCTAGCTCGGAAAACTAGTGACAGCTCCAACAGCAACCCTGCAGCACATCCGCACGCGGTCCTGGTCCCGGCCAGCTACAGCCCATCTAACTGCGGCACGGGGCAGGACAGGCTGCCCAACCTGGGATTTTACCCTGCACCCCTAGTGTGACCCCATAGTGTGACCCCACAGCCCTACACAAACCCCCTCCCAGCAGAGAGGTGGCTGTGGACACGAGTGATGTGTGAGAGAAGATATGGTCCCTGCTCCTTGCTTCCTCCTTCCCGGAGTCCACAGAGCAGGAGACGGAGCAGACACTGTGACCACAGAGTGCCAAGAAAGGACAGAGGCCACCCGGAGAGGAAGAGGTGGCACCGCTGCGCCAGGCTGACCTCCCAGCAAGACAGGTGAAACCCTGCCCCCGGCAGAAGCTGATCGCCAGCAGGGCAGGAACTCCCACTGCAGAAACTGAAGTCGGGCCCTCACAGGCGCCTGAGACCCAGGGTGGATGCGGAGAGGAAGCATACCGTCCTCGTCTGGAGACTCCGCCGCAGCAACAGGACGAACGCCGTCTTGCCCATGTCCTCCCTGGCAGGCAGGCCTCTCTCCCACCACGTGACGCACAGGTCCTGGATGGCACTCCGCAGCTTGTGCTCAGACTCGGGTAAGGCATACAGCACACCTGACACAAGGCAGGGAGTCCCAGTGGGTAATGCACATTCTCGCCGTCAAGGAGCCAACAGCTCAGAGCACTGCGACCGTGCCTTAGGAGCTCTGTAAGCAGCTGATACCCGCTTGTGTTAACTGGCCAAAGGTCTGCACGTGCTGTCTGTGAAACGCTAACAAAACTTTAAAAATTATCACATGGGACTAGCAGATGACATAGCAGTTACATGGCTGCACTCCCACAGTCAACTGCGGTTCGAGTCCCAGGCCCAGTGGCTTCAAAATCACACAGGGAACATGTGCATGTGGGCCCAAGCTGCCAGGAAGAAAATGAAGAATGAGTTGAGGCGTGGCCATTAACCCTGGGGAGTGATTTCTCATTTTCCCAGTCTTAATCCCGCTCGCACTTTCTCTCAGGCAAGCACACACACCCTAAGACAAAACCTCTCCAGAAAAAAGAACTATACACCTTTGTAAAACAGACCCACATAACAATCTTAGAAGTAGAAGCCTCAGAGAGCATGCTACCTAAACCCCTAACTCCAGAGCAGCCATTCAGGCTCAATGCAAAGGGTCCCCCGCATCAGCCACCAAGGACAATGACAAGTAGCCCCGGAGGCCAGCGGCTAGAGTGGCGGGCCAGGCGCCGGGGCACCCCACAG